AATATTTATTTATTTATTTTGTTGATGAACTGCATGTACGCCAGAAGTATGGGGGTAGGAGGTGGTGTGAGAGGATTCACCAGAGACAGAGTGGGGAGCAGAACAGGTGGATCTACTGAAATACACTGCTTAGGGGAGCAGCAGGTGAGACAGGAGACACATGCTGTGCCGTGTGGGTTAGCTCCCTGGCTGGGGATCAAACTCATTCTACAGTGGTGATAGTGCTGAGACTTGACCCCTAGGCTACCAGGGAGACCCCTAAAAAGTTGAATTTTAAAGCAGTAAGTTTCCTAATTATATAAAAATTATACCAAAAAGCCAGAAAATTTAGAAAACATATTGACACTATACAAAGCACAAGAAACAAAAGATTATTAGAAGACAACTGTTGTTAACGTTTTGAAGCATTGTATCCCAGGAACAGTTTTCAATTACTTGAAGCTTGACACTCAGAGGAGAGACCCTATGTCTGTAGACCCAGACCTTCGAGGGGCATTAGCACCTGGTGCTGCTATATCTGCAGAGGTTTAACAGCTGTTCCTGGGAAGAGGTAGGCAAGAACTGCAAGTGAATAGAGACCAACAAGTCTCCTCTATGTCCTCAAGGCCTCAGGTCTCCCTCTTCTGCCTCCTGTTGCCAGAGCCTAATAGGAAACCAATTAGCAAGAGAAAATTAGAGTTTACAGAGTCCTTGTCTCAGCATCACAAAACAGTTTTAAAGGGTCAGTTTGGAGCCAAGTGACAAATTCCCTGAGAGGAATTCCAGAACTACTGAATTAAAGGATAGGAGCTTAAAAAAAAAAACAACAAAAGACTTCATAAGGGAAAATCACTCTAGAGTTTAGTGAACAATTTATTTGCGCAATTTTCTTTATTGAGATAATTTTGGTTTCAATTTCATTTTCTGTGTTTTGGGTTTTTGTTTTTTTAGAAAGGATATTTGTGGCAAGAATTGGCTATTCATAAGGCTTCTTTGGTGGTGTTATTGCTATTCGTTCTGGTGCGTGCAGGTATTACTTCCTCTGTGGAACAGATAACATCGGTTTCCATTAGATTTGGTTACAGTGTGATATTTACAAAGTGAATCCTATTTTCCACTGACTTTTATTGTTTAAACTGAGATATGTTTTCTTTGTAAATAGCCTCGGTTTTTTGGGTTTGGAAACCTTGTGGCAAAGGCTCAAAAGCATATCCAAACCCCAAATATTTTTTCTAGTAATTTGAAGTACTTTTACAACTATGTGCCTGTTTGCAGAATCTAGGCCAGCTCCAACTTTTCTTTCTTTTGACATTATGCCTCAGATCGTGAATATCCGTAGTTCTTTCCATGTTCACAACTCCTCAGACTCAGTTTACCTTTCCTATTTGGGAGGATTATATAATAGTGCTGACAGTGTAGCATTTCATACCTGGGTACAACTTTCAAAGACATTCAGTAGTTCTCTTAGGCAATTCTATATGAAGCTGCATGTTCAGTAAAATGAATCTGTGCCCTACTTTGACCATTCTCTAAGGGTAATATTATATAACATAAATTCATTTTAAATTACATGTTTATCAGGCAGAGACTCATGATAAGTAAATGTTGTTATAAATTCAGAAATATGCATTTTGCAGATAATACTTTAATGAACTTTAAGGATGATAATTAATTATTTTAAACAGAACTGGAAATGCATTATTAAGATAGAGTGAAGAGAGTTATGTGTTTTGTAAAATCAGCTGACATTTTGAAGAATTTGGCTAAGAAATATATTCTCCCAAATTTCTACTTTTAGAATAAAATTCTGTGTACTTTTTGTACAATTCAGTGCACAGTAAAATACTAAAATAATCCAAGATGTTAATGCTATTTAAACGTTATGTTTTTCCTTTTTTCTAGAAATAATTTTGTGTGTGTGTGTTCTATAATTATAAATGCCATAAAATTATGGCTACTTTACATTTTGGGAACTAATGTATGTCAAATAGTCATACCCTTTTCCTCCTACCCCTGAGGGAAAAAAAAAAACATATATTTAAATCACATAATTTCATGCAAATGAAAACTTTTAAACTGAGTGTGCTGATTGTTTTACCAAACAGAATTGAGAAGGAAAAAAAAACCTTGAATTTTGAAATAAGTGATCTTTCCCTGTTAGTATATGATAACTTTTAGAGAACAATAATTTTCTCTAAAATGTTATTAATAATTTAATGATGCATTAAAATCCTTTTATTTTTGCTACTAAGTGCTATGACTATTTTTAAGTATTTATTAGTCAAGGGAAATGACATTCACAAGGTTTGTATCACAAATTATGTTTTATTTGTTTATTTTTAGGTTTTTCTTTGGCTCTTTCCAAGCAGTTCTCTTGGCAACAGTGGCGTTACTTCTGCCTATCGTGTGTTTCATGCAATTAAACTCTTCTATTATATTCTCCATCATAACTTATTTCATGTAAATGTTATAGCTGCTATATTCAGCCATTAACTTATATAATTTTTCGGACAGTATTTTTAGTTATAATTCTTTTCTTAAACAAGAAAAAATGGATTTTATGAGAATCTAGGCAGTGAACTTTAAATGGAAAAAAAATAAGAATATACTAAAACTTTTTTCATTTTTTTCCTGCTCTATCCCTCCCAAAACTGCTCCTTACACCAGGCTGGGAGATTTGGACTTGATCATAACAACTAGGATTTTTGCCCGCCCCCCCCCCACACACACACCTGCCTCACCTCCACTTCTTTAGACCTACCACAAGGGAATCTGGTATTGGTAATACTGGTAGCCCCTACATGGAGACTATGGCCAACCAACTTGTTGAAGTAGAAAGGCCAGTACATGTGGAATCAATTACTCTGTGGCCATAGCTCTGCAGACCCCAAATGAGCACATCTTGGTGGGAACAGAAAATCTCTTGGAGTCCTAATCACAGATGAGCTAAATTTCTGTAAGAGATGAGCTCAGGGCAGTGAACCCTGTGATGTTAGCCCCATCATGAAGGGAAGTGACTCGACCTAAGTCATGGACTGGCTCAGCAGACATTGTTTGTTCATTTCTCAAAAATGAATGTGCCAAGCACTAGGATAGGAGCTTGGGGTTAAATGGGAAGGATGTGTGTGGGTTGTAATGGTAAGCAAAATTCAACATAAAGAGTTACATGGTACAGTGAGAGTATGAATTAGGGGGATTTGACAAAATCAGAAATATGGGTGAGATGGGATGAGAGACGTTTTCCCTGAAAAAAAGATGTTTGAACTGAGATCTAAAATCTTGTTATTCAAAATATGGTCTCTAAATGGTTTGCTTGAGCATCACCTGGTAGCTTAGAACAGGGTCTCAGTCATGGACTGGCTCAGCAGACATTGTTTATTTCTCCAGACCTATTGAACCTACTTGAGCCTGATCTAGAATAATAGAATAGGGTGTAATGATGAGGAGACTGACCCATGAGAAACTGAAGAGAAAGAGTCAAAAAGATTTGTTACTAATTGTATATGGAGTAGAAGAATGAGTCTAGAATCTCTCTCAAATTTGTCACTACTGGGTAAATAATGGCACTCTTGACCAATATAGGAGAGAGATAGGGCTTGAGTATGAAGCATCTAGTTGAGAAATATAGATGTGAGAATCCTTAATTGATTGCTCAAACCATGACCTCCCACAGAATGATCACTAAACTATAGCTTCTTAGTAATTACAGTAATGATCACAATAAACAGACGATTGACATTCATCTCATCAGGATAGGTCATTACAGGACTGCTTATTTGAATAATGTTGGTTATTTGGTAATTACTGACTTAAATATGAAGCAGATAAAACTGGTTTTGTAAATAGAATACCTGCCTTATAGGTGTCAAGAGCTTCTTCTTTAAGAGTTTCATGCTTATTCGTGTGTGTGTGTGTGTGTGTGTGTGTGTGTGTGTGAGTGTGTGTGTGTGCAGATAAATTATGATTCTTAACCTCTCTTTGACAGAGTTATAGAATCTATTTCATATTCTCTTTGACTTCTGCCATCTGTGAAAAGAATTTTTGTGTTTTGGGTCGTATTGAATGTTATTAATGAACATAATGGCTCAAAAATGAGCCATTTTTCTCCCATGGTAATTGGCAAAAAAAAAAAAGAAGAAGAAGAAAAAGAAAAAGATAGTCTTATTGTCTTTGGTTTCTGAGTTTCTTCCACCAGCAAAATAAGAAAGGAGGAAAGAAACACCTTTTACACACAAAAAATCTAGGCAAGAAAAATACAGTATCTCTGTCAAACAGTATACTATTATCATAGCATCTTATTTTCAATTATTTATAATTCAATACCTGTTACTAATATTCTACTCTTAAGCTGTTCTTCATCCAGATTTTATGCCATAATTTTTCAACGTGGTCCAGTTATATAATCTTTATTGAGGAGTTAAATATTTTAGATGAGATTCATATATTTAAATGCTTGATGTTAGATTGGCTTACATTATTATTATTTGGAAACCCTTTTTTTATCCATGAAAGTAATAGGAACAGGATTTTTAATTGATGTTGGATTTTGCTATTTTTAAAAAGTATTAGATAAATTTTTTTTAGGCAGCTTGCTGAAAAGAGAAACCTTATTTTCTTTTTAAAATTATATCTGAGACTATCTTAATATTTTGTATAAGTAAAAAAATATGTTCATAAAATGAAAATGAAGACAAACTTATAGAGTAGGAGACATACTTACCTGGCAGGGGAGCTACCATGATCATGAGTAGGAGATACAGTAGACCTAAAACAAAGTCAAGAAAGTTTCATACTAGAATATGTAAAGAACTCAATTATAAGTTAGAACAAAGAAAAGTGGCCCAATTAAAAAATTGACAAAGGGTGTAAATAGGTTATGTGCAGAACATATACATAAAATATGCTTAAGTGTCAGTAACCAAGGAATTGCACACTGACATTATGGACTCTAGACATGATTCCTGCCTATAATTTTGGCAAAATTTAAAATGTCTAACAATCCAATATTTTTGACTTTGTAGAAAAGAGGGAGACTTTCTTCTGCTCATAGAAAAGTAAGTTGATTCCATCATTTTGGATAATTGCTATAAAACTCTAACTTCACTATTCCACTCTAGAGAAATGCTCAAACCTGTATACAGGAGGCATTTATAGAAATGTTCACAGTGGCATTCAATACTAGTTAACATTAGAATGGATACATAAATTATGGAATGGTCAATCAAGGAATACATTTGGGCAATGAAAATGAGTGAACTGGACTTAAGTGCAATACCATGGATAAATCTAACTGTTGATTAACAGAAAATACCAAAAGGATCTCTGTAATACTATTTTAAGTGATCTAATATATGCAAAACAAATATTTTTGTTTAGGAATATCTACATATGTGCTAAAAGTAAAGGGACATAGATTGGCAGGATAGATACCATATTTATGATGTTGTTATCCTTTAAGAGGGAAAGGAATGGAGATATGAAAATGATAAACAGTTCATTTAAGGTGAGGAGGCAGAGTTACTTTATTATTCTTTATAGCTTTTCATTGAATTTTTTTAAGCATAGTGGGAACTTTTAAAAAATCAGCTGCTGTTAGATAAAAAGATGATCACTGATTCATTCAAACACGGTAGTGTTGCAGTGAGGTCAGATTTCTTCCTCACTCATGTGTTAATGTTACTTGACTGCCTTTGTGCATGCAAAGGGGCAGCTTTCCAAAAGGCAAACAAATGACTTTTTTCAGACATGTGATGTGGGTGAAACAAAATCAAATATGACTTTACAAGTGAAGCTTCTGTTTTTTCAAAGATGTAATACTTACTTGAATATAAAATACCTTTTAAAAATATCCATCATTGTATAATACAGACTAGTATCTGTCTCAAAATTTAGTTTCTCTCTCCATTTCTCTCCTCCTTCTGCTCTGACCCCATCTTTCTCACACACACACGCAGGCACGCATGCATGCATGCACACAAGTCTTTGTAAAACAGAAAGTGAATTATAACTATAAATAGTGGTTTATTTCTGCTTGATATGAAAATGATAATGAGTCCTTTTTTGTACCTTTTTTGAAATGACACAGCAGGATTCAGTGAAGTAATAGCCATTTATTTTTCTTTGAATTTACAGAAAATTCTATTGATGTTATATTTGTCTAACGTTCTTAGAATAACATATACCTATGGGCTTTTTAGTTTAAGATTTTCTCAGAAGAGAAAACACTGATTCTATTTCACTGGTACAAGCTCACCCTCCTCCTTCAGATAATTCTGGTCTGTACTTATCATTAATTAAACGGGTCTGGTGCATACAGTATTGTAGACACAGCACGGGAGATAAGGAGACAAGTCTTCCTTTAAGCAATCTTTAGGTTCTATTGCTAATCATGTAAGAAGTGAAAGATAAAAGGGTATTTTTATATAGATCGTATTTGTCTTCATTGTATCCTACCCATTTATGGCTTCAAAATTAAAAAGTTTTCCTACAACTGAGAATAAAGGTTAAAGGCAAAGACAGTAGATTTGTGGTTTCAACTGTCTTTTTCAAGGTGACTGAATTAATCATTGAGCTTATACTGGTAGCTATCTACTTAGAGGTTGTGATTTTCAAGTCTTCTGACAAAAAATGAAATTTTCAATGTGGTTTGTAGGAAAAAAAATATCAAAGCCCTCTGTAAAACCTTGTCTCCAAAACCTGAAGACTCTCTATGAGAAAAAAAATGTATCATTTCTCCCAAGGGACAAACAGAAGCTTCTCTCTGCTTGGTGGATTTAGTTTGGGATACAAATTTCACATGACATTCTTTGATTTTATCCTAGAAATACCTTTATTCACACTTGATCAGGTAGGTCTGTTTTCCAAGGATACAAAATATACCTTGCAGATATATAAGAGAGAACAAAAGTGGATCTCTCTTTCAGGATCAGCCTTTCGTTCCTAAGACTTAGAAACTGAGAGTGAATCCTGCATTGTGGTCCAGTGACAGCCCCACAGGACCCCCACAGTGTGGGTCTCCACAGCCCCTTTTTCTGTTTCCTGATTACCCCATCCATTCCTTGCTTAACACTGGCTTTTGATCTCAAATAAAGAACCAAAGAGAGGGGAGCTGAGTCACTTCTGAAAGACAGCCATCTCTGTTTCAGAATTCCCAGATGAACTCAATGACTGTCTGAATTCTTTGCGCTGATGGTAAACTCCATGTAAAGCCTCCCACTGTTTGCCTCCCACTTCCTCCAGTCCTCCACTTTGGTAACTCATCAGCCTCAGAAAGGCCTCTAATCTGTTGAGCCTCTTGTCTTTTCACTGCCTGCCCCCTGTGCTTGTATCTCTCATCTTTACCTGGCTAGTATTCTTTGCAGTCCAACATTACAGCCAAGCTCTTGCCCACTGACCTGTTGTACTCACCCCCAAACACTTCAGCTTGGTTTAATTCACTTTTCTGCCTACTTTACTCCTGCACCCAAGCAACTGAATTTGACCAGACACCATTGCTGACTAATTGAGCTTTAAATGTATTTCTACAGCCCTCCAGAAGCCTTGGTTCTGCCTGACTAGTCCACTTGCCAAGTCGTTCCCTTTCACTGTCCTCTGACATCAGTACTTTTTCTACTTCATCTTTTTCACCAGCACACATTTATACTCTATTTCCCATCTTTAAAAATAAGACTTCTGGGGATGAGGAGGGAGAGGGATCAGAGGGTGAGAGGGAGGAGCACAGAGGACTGTGGTGATGGTGCACGGGTGCCTTGGGGAAGGAAACTCTATGGGGACTCAATCTGAGGGGGTCGGGGGGAAACAAATAGTGTTTAAAAAAATTTAAATTAAAAAATAAGACTTCATTTGACCTTTCATCCCTTTCCAGCTCTTGTCTCATTGCTCTGCTCCCTTTATAGCAAAACTTCTCAAAAGAGTAGTCTGTTTTCTGTATTCATTCCTTCATTTCTTCCGAATCCTCAAAATCAAGCCTTTGTCCTCAGTAGTCAAGGTCCTAGGAGTTCACCTACAGTATGTGTCCTATTGACCAGCTTCTTTTTCTGTGAACTTGTTCCTTACCTGGCTTCTGAGCCACTACCCCTCCTTTGTCACAAGTCACTTTTCCTACCTTCCTGCCTTCTAGAATCTTTGCAACTCTCCTCTTGTTTGGTTCTTCTAAGTATAAAAACTTGTGTTTCCTTGGAGTTAGGGTGTTCGGCATATAGATCCACAGGTGTAAATATTTACATGTTCAACACTCAAACTCCAAGGGAATAGAAGTCATTGTTCTTAGGATCCTTCCAGACCTTGCCCTGTGTACCTCTTCATCTGACTGTTCACTTGTATCCTTTATAAAACTGATGAACACACATATATTCAAATAACTCTAATAACTTTATGACTCTTACCTCTCCACAGAAATATAGAATTATATATTTCTAATTGCACCCATGACTTCCCCCCCCTTGGAAGTCTAATAAGTATTTTAAATTTACCATGCCCAAAATTTATTCTCTACCACTCTCCTATTAAAAATGCATTAATATACTACATTATAATGTAGCATCTCACCAAGCTTTATTTTCTTCATAGCCTATGTCACCCTGATAATCACATCACATTTCTTTATTTTTCCCTACTTCACTCACTGGTATATAACCCCATGTCAACAGGGTCTCTTTTGTTATTTATTCCTTATAGTAGGCAGAATAATTGTCCTATAAAGATGTCCCTGTCCTCATCCCCAGAATCTGTGAGTATGTTTCCCTATGTGTCATAAGTGACTTTGTAAATATGATTTAAAATGTTGAGATAGTGAGATTATAGTGGAATATGGCCCAGTGCCACCACACTGCTACTTCTAAAGGAAAGCGGGAACTAAAGGAGATAGGACCACGGAAGCAGAGAAAGGATGCAGCGAGAGCCAGGGAATGCAGGCAGCCTCCAGAAGCTGGAAAACACAAGAAATAACTCCTCCCCTGTAATAGATCCTTTTCCCAGAGGGAAAGCCACTCTGCCGACACCTTGATTTTAGACCTATAAAACTTGCTTTGGACTTCTGACCTCCAGAACTTTAAGATAATATACTTGTGCTGTTTTAAGGCACTAAGGTTAAAGTAGTTTGTTATAGCACTGTAGAAATCTAATATACTCTTACATCTCCATCATCAGGAATTTTCCTGGCACATAGGTATTAAATGATTTTTTAAATGAATAGTATGTCTTCCTTTCTTTAGATCCTAAATACAGGTTATTGAATCCCTACTCTAAATGTTATCATTGAAAATAAATGATCAAGTTTTTCTTGAAAAGTAATATTTGCTTTTATTTTTGTCCAGGCAAAAGATAAGTTTTTGTTATCCTAGTCTATTTCAGGCAGGCTGTGTGTGTGTGTGTGTGTGTGTGTGTGTATAATGATTTTTAAATCTCAGAATGTTAGGAATGGAAAGGATTCTAAAGGGCACTCAGTTGAATTTCCTGATCTGATGTTTGTTTGTATATTTCTCACAGTATCCCTGAGAAGTGACCACCCAAATCTATTTTAGAACTTTCATATGGGAAATTCACTTTAGCTAGAGGGGTCAAGACCACTTTCGGATAGACTTTTCTGACTTTTACATATCTTGTTTTCTGCCTACATAATTAAAGCAAGAATAGAAAGATATAAATCCAACTGATTTATTTTAACCCATTTATTAAACATATATCTAAAGCTCAGGCATTTATTAAATGTGAAATGCCTACTTTTGCCTTCACGTTTGTCAGAACGTCCTTATACTATACCACCAGAAACCATCAAATATGCTTTTGGGGGGTAAAATCTGATTTACTGTCTTATACCCTATACAAAAAATAACTTAAAGTGGACTTCCATGTGAGCCAGGAGCCATAAAACCCCTCCCTATAAGGAGGCATAGAAGAAAAGACAACAAAAACAAAAATTAACAAATGGGACTTTGTCCAACTAAAAAGCTTCTGCACAGGAAAGGAAAATATCAACAAAATGAAAAGGCAACCTCCTGAATGGGAGAAACTATTTACAAATCATATATTCAATAATGTGTTAATATACAAAATACACAAAGAACTCGTACAACCGAATTTAAAAATTTCATTGAAAAGTGGGCAGAGGAATTGAATCAACATTTTTCCAAAGAAGTCTCACAGATTGCCAACAGGCTATTGAGAAGATGCTTATCATCAGTAATCATCAGAGAAATACAAGTCAAAACCACAATAATGTGTCACCTCACAATTTTCAGAATGGCTATTATCAAAGACAGGAAGAAAATATTGGCAAAGATGTGTGAAAAAGGGAACCCCTGTATGCTATTGGCAGGAATGTAAATTGGTGCAACCTCTATTGAAAACAGTATGGAGATTCTTAAAAAAAATTTTAAATAGATCTTCTATGTGATCCAGCAGTTCTACTTCTGGGTGTTTATCTGAAGAAAATGAAAATACCTATCTGAAAACAACCTTATTGTTCATCGTTGGATGAATGAATTTTTTAAAATGTGGTATATATATTCAGCCACAGAAAAGAATGGATCGTGAGATATTTTGCTTAGTGAAATAAGTCAGCTGGAGAAAGACAGATACTATATACCTTCACATATATGTGGAGTCTAGGAATTTTTGTTTGTTTGCTTAAAGGCATAGATACTGAGAACAGATTGGTGGTTGCCAATCTGTTGGGATTGGTGGAGTTGGGTAGGGAGAGTAGGCAAAATGGGTGAAAGGGGGACAAAAGGCAAGAGGTATAGACTTGCATTATAAAGGAATTCTAATTTTCCAGTGTGTGCATTTGTGTGTGTGTGTGTGTATACACACAACATTTTGTTTATACGTTTATTTGTTGGTAAATACTTGGATTATTTCCACCTTTTGGCTCTACAAATAATGGCTCTGTGAACATTGATATACAAGTATCACTTCTCAGCCTTTTGGCTAAGATCAAGTGTGATATACAAGTATCTGCTCAAGTCCCTGCTTTCAATTCTATTGGATACTTAAAGGTAGACTTGCTAGTTCATATGCTAATTCTGTCTTTAACCTCTTAGAAACAGTCAAACTGTTTCCAAAGCAGCTGCACCATTTTATATTTCTATGAACAATGCATGGGAGTTACAATTTTCTACATCCTCACCACTTTATGTTTTCCATGTTTTAATAATAGTTTAGTAGATATGACATTGCTTTAAAATTAAGAATTAGACCGCATTTAACAATCTTCCTAATGGTAGACTACTTGATCACTCAGATATATACAAAGTTTATTTCATTAAAAAATTCTGAATTTTCTCTGTTAACTTTATTTCCATACTATAATTGTAATCTCATAATTTGCTATAGTTGAGAACAAATAATTAAATGGAGACTGGGATTTTAGAAGAGGAATACTTAAAGCATATGTTTGTGTAATTTTAAAGTATGGAAAATAAACCTCTTCCTATCTTCTCTATGATATCAAAGACAATGGAAAACACAGTTAGAAATCTACCAGACAAGACTGAAGATATCTGCAGATCTTTCTTGAATCCTTTAATGTCATCGGAATATTCATCATCAACCTTCAAAAAGAAAACAGAAGACATAAGTGACCTCCCTTTTGAGAGTCAGAGAAGCATACCTCTTGCTGTGACTGAGGCTTTAGAGCATATCATGGAACAGCTCAATGTTTTGACACAGGTGGGTTGGTGTGCTTTGCACTTTGGAGTAAGATATACAAAACAATCCTGGTTAGAACAGGTTGCGAACTAGCAGAGCAAAGGGAAAACTTTCCTTCCTAGCAAGGCAAACTCAAGATAGCCATCAATCTGGCAGTGCTCTACTGGGCTGCTCTAGCAAGATCTTGCAGAGATAAGGACAGAGCCCATGAGCACACACCACACACCCCTGCTCGGCTTCTTCTGGCACCCAGGGGCAGAAGGAAGCAGTGGAGACTGAAGAAAGCAATGGTACTCCAAGCTATAAACATATTTGATTCTGAGCAGTAATGCTTTCCCCTACTACTCATTGATCCATTTGTGTTCAGATTGAGACATTATCAAAGAAATATTTAGGGCCATAAGAAAAATGTAATGGTTAACCATTTTCTGGTTAGAATGAGATATTAGCAATGTTTGTAGTTCTTTTACTCTGAAAAGAATTCTGACTGTCCACTGTATAAATATTCTCACTTCAGAACTTCTTATATTGATGCTGTGCTCTTCTTAAGGTAATGGTTTTTGCATTCCAATTTTAGTTTTACCTGGTGTTTTGATGCCAGTTTACCATTTATCTTTGCAATGAAGGAATATGTGGATCTTGGTCAGGAGATACAGATATCATTTAAGGGAAGTGGTGTGTTGAAATGGATACACCAAAGATTACTCTCCCAGCTCTGCTGATTCAGTGTTTCCTTAGAGAAGTCTTGTTGTTCCTCCTTGATATATATAGAAGAGGACACCAGCATTTGTCAGAACAGACTGTCACAAAGTCTACAGAAAGAGAGGCTATGATGTGAACTAGAGAGCTGTCCATTACTTCTCCAAAATAAATATTTCAAGTTGAAGTAACTCTTGCATAGAAATCATCTAATTTTGTTTTCAACCCTGACTCTGCATTTTAATCACCTTGGGTTCTCCAGAGAACCCAAGGTGAGAATATCAGTCTGAAAGCAGCTTATAGGATTCTGATTTACAGCCAGGCTTTAGTTCAATGAATATTTTTTACCCTGTAGACAACATTTCAGGGCCTTATGTGTGGTTGTAGGCCTCCTACATATTGTGGGAAAAGACTGTGAGAACTTGGAGTCATCATAAGTTTTGTTCATTGAAAATTGTATTAAAATCACTAATTTTCACTTTGCAGTATTGTTCTGGAAGTGACCTTCACTTTATTTATGAGACATTTCCTTCCTTTAAAGGCAGTTCCCCTTTCAACTTCATGACAAATTTGGCTTTGATTGTTGTGTTTCCTATATTGCCATTGCTTCCCTACCTGCAGTGTTGTTACATTTGATGCTGGGTCCTCGGTAGAGCCTCTTCCAAATGAACCTTTACATTCTGCTCTTTCAGCTTTATGGCCCATTTCTCCACCTTTTTACCTGATTCAAGGTTAAATGAATCACTTTAAATGTTATTGCATGTCTATGATTTTCATTTTGAATTTTATTTTGAATTTTTATTTTTTATTTTGAACTTTGGAATTTCAAAATTTATTTTGAATTTTGAATTTATTTTGAATTATGTTATGAAAGAAGTTAAAAGCAGACACAGAGTACACTGCAAAATGGGAACAGTAAAACTGGACAAGTAGCAAGTGAAATAAGTATGTTCAAATCTTTAATTATAATTATAGATAACTGAACATCTAATTCAGTTGCAGTGTTTATAACCATCTGTACTGAGCTATAATTAGAAATAAATTAAAATGAAATTACCTCTTAGATGACAAATGGAGTTAACCAGTGTGAAATGTGTTGATAGTATGCATATCAATAGCTTTAGCATGTGGAGTTGTAATAATGTCTGCAAAGTATCTATCAAAATGCTGGACCCATAGTAGGCACCCATAATGATAGCATCACTATTACCTTTAGTTAGTCATGATTTATGGTATGGCATAGGAAAATCTCTCAAATAATATTTTAAAGAATTGGTTACCTTCAGAGGATGATAGAGAACCAGTTCATTCTCTTGAAACTTGGCTGAAACAGTAAAACATCTATCTATCCTGTCTTTCCTGTGTGAACTAAATAGTAGTTTACAAAATACTAGGGTTACTAAATAGTAGCTGAGGAAAATTTCTTTTATTTCTAAATTATACCAACTAATAAATTTTTTTAATGATGGTATTGAAATATAATCATTTGTAATCCACAAGAATTAATAGAGTTAGGCATGGAATAACTATTAACATCAGGAAGAGAACCAGACCTTTCTAATGTGCTCTCTACGGAAGGAATAGATGCAGCTATAGTCAGAGGAGTCTAACCTGTTCTTAGTCATCCTTTAAATCCCGCTGACCATTTTCTGTAAATATAAAGGACAGAATAAACTGAATTGCACCCTGAATGTGCTGTCCCGAAAATCTAGACTTGTGGAAATGCTACAGGTCAAATGGTCAACAAATTAGAAAGAAAGACAGGGAGAGGGTGATAATTTGTCCATTAAAAGAGACTTCAATTATATATCAAATCTTAAAAATGGGTAGACAAATTTTAATGTGTAGGGATGTACACCTAAATACAAAACCATGCAGAAACTCAAGCACATCATTACTAGAATGGTCAGCATAGTGGCTATTATGGCGGCTGGGCAGGGCTGGTGATTCTGATAGGCATATGGAAGGCACTCTGGGCTGGCCGTCAGAGTTGACTATTAATTATGGTGATTTTATCATGATAACGTATTAAGTGACTTGTGTTGTATGCAGCTTCCTGAATTTGTTATATTTTAGAATATAAAGCTTTTTTAAAGATATAAAAGACTAAAGATGGAGGTAGTCAATGTCATAAACAATTAGATCTCGCAAATCATGTATGTGTATGCGTTTGAGGGGTGGGGAGGGTGCAGATCCAGAAACAGCAAGTTCTGGGACTCTTTCTTGTGTCAAATACATGGCAAATGGGTGAATGTTCCAGTTCTAAAAATGATCTCCTAGACAAGATTATCATCATCGTCCTCACCACCGGGTCACTAGGTATTGATTATTTTGTCCTCCTCTCTGCAGACTGTTTCAATCTTGGAGCAGCGACTGACTTTGACAGAGGATAAGTTGAAAGACTGCCTTGAAAATCAGCAAAAACTTTTCAATACTATCCAACAGAAAAGTTGAATAGAAAACTGAACAGACTCACAATAAACGAACACGTGTACATATATGTGCAGGAAGGCAGAGCAAGATGACTCATGCAACACAACCATGTGCTAATTTCCACGGCCTTTCTTAAAAGGGTGAGCAGCAGAACAAAAGGGAAACAAGGCATAATTAAGGATGAATTTAAGCACACAGATCAATGTCAAGGGTAAATTCAGATAATTACCACTTCCATTGCAGAAATAAAATGATAAACATTCAGTGGACTCTATTTTCCCCCAAATTATTTTAAATGTCAGTTTTCAGGTATAGTCCATATTCTGCTAGGAAAGTAACCAAATCTCAGCATTTCATTGTTAAATCATTTCAAATTAACCTTGTTCAGGTAGTTCCTTAAAACAATGTATTTCTTTAATATATAACACCCGTGCGGTGAAATAATTCATTTACCTCTAAGACAGCATCCTGTGGTGAGATGAGTTCATGATTTGACTTGTGTTTCATTCAGTCAAAAAAAAAAAAATTATTCTTTCTTGCCAGTGTCATCAAAAATGATCTTATAAAATTCATGAGCACAGAATTTGCAGAGCAAGAATACACTTATTTCAACCAGCAACAGCACATATATAACTTAGGGCAGTGGGTTTTTATTTAATTTGTGCTGTCTGTTGCTTTTCGCCTTTTACTGACCTGAAAGAAAATGATGAATTAGAACTATGTGAAGCACACATGTCTTTTCTTTTGTAGATGAATGAACTGAATGTGATTTAGGTTGTATCTCACCCTATGATCCTACTTCACAAAGATTACGTTAATGTGATTTCAGTATGTTCAAAAGCCGGAATGATACAACAGTGGTATTTAAAAATACACGCACATGTATCTTTACTTGCTTCAGAAATATTGTTGCTGAGGGTGATTTTGGCAGCTGAATAATAAGTACCCTAAAAAAAAAAATCCCTATCACAGACTTCCTATTTTTTTTTTTCATGAATTATGATTCAAAACAAAATGAAAATTAGCTAGGGAATCTGAAAGATCTTGGTTACAAATTAATAATTCTGCTCTTTCTTAAATAAGATTAAATTGAAGAAAACCATTAATTGTAGGTATACCTAGATCAATAACAAAGAACATGGGAGAAGGCAGCCCATTATATGATTGGTAAATGGGGGAAATGCTGTTGATGTTTTAGAAAAGAAAAAGTGAAGTCCTATTTATGTAGAAGTCCACATTTAAAATTTTTCTCCAAGTAATTTCAATTGCATCTACCCACGTGGGTTTTTTATTATCTCATTGAGTGTTTTAAGTGCCTTTTTATATTATACTAAGTAAATTTTTGGACAGTGTCAAGAGTTTATAGAGACTAAGCGGCATGTATTTTTATAAGCTCATTGAGAAACTAAGTAAGAAATGAAATGTCATACTAATTTTTGTTTACTCTTTTATATGCTTCAAACAATAAAACATTTTCTTTTAAAAGGAAGTTGTTCATTTTATTTTAAATGATTAAAACCTGAGAATAGGAAACCATTTATTGTCTAGCTCACTCCACCTGAATATACATAACAATTCCCCTGGAGAACACCCTAAAACCTCACAGGTGATAATGAGGGTGTTGGCCTGAGGTCCACCCGATGGACAGAAACCAATGATGAAACTATTAAAAATTAGATCTCTTGCTTGGGAAGGAGAAGAAGTTGTAGAAATATAGGGCCTGCATTCCTCCATGCAATGAAGTAGAGCTGGGTAGTGGGGGGCTCCCTTTGTGGGGTAGGCATCCCCCAGGTCCTCTTGTTGCCCTCCCCTTCTCTGCTTGACATTACCTACCTGACCCCTGGGGGCATTTGAGCTTATAGTCCTGCCTGAGATAAGCCATAGAGATCCAAGTCTTCTGCATGGTATTATAAGGCTGTCACAATCTCTCCCTAATCTCTGTGTTTCTGAGATTATTTTTCAGTTCACACTACAAGTATGCATCTCACCCTCAGCCCTGCTGAACTTTCCACCACTATTGGGGTGAAGTGTTGGAGGCGGCCATCCCGCGTAGTGAGCAGAAGGGCCTTGACCCGAGTCCCTAAGGCATGTGAAAACACATGTGTCTCGGAGGAAAACCTCTGAGTGACAGGACTTGGTGTTGAGAGCCTGGAAAGTGACCTGTGTGGAGTCAGGCTTCTACATCTCCACAGTCTGAAAATAACAAAATAGAGAGACCCAGTGCAGTGAGCAGAAGGGCCTTGACCCAAGTCTTTAAGACATGTGAAAACACATGCATCTCGGAGGAAAACCTCTGGGTGATAGGACTTGGTGTTGAGAGCCTGGAAGTGACCTGCGTACATCTCCACAGTTTGAGAATAACAAAAATAATGAGCAAACTTCCCAGGCTCTGGCTAGGGGGCGATAAGATTATGTGCGTGAGAACTAACCACCTGGTACCCTACTGTCTGATGTAAATAGATAATAGTAAGAAAACAGACTAATCATTCATACATGTTATCATTATATGGTATGCTTTGATGTTACACCTGCTGCAATTAAAATAGTATATAATGAGCACTAAGACAATAAAGATTTACTGCATGCTGGACATGACAGTCCCCCATATCTAATTTCCCTCCCCGTCGTGTCCCAGGTTCGGACTCACTAGAAGTCCACAGTGAAGCATGCCATTCCCTTTACAATTCCATTTACTCTGGACATACGTTTTCCCCCGTACCCAGCCTAGCTCTTTCTGCTGGAAAAGCCCTAATCATGCTTCAATGATAACTCGCATCCTTTTTACTGTCTGTTTCTATAGCTTTCTCTGTATATCTCTGCTACAGTGTAGATTGCAATACAGTTGCAGTTCTGTCACTTCCACTCTGACTTGAAGACTGTCATAAAACCAGAACTGTCATCTTTAGATACGCCACCTAGCATATTGTCATAGTAGGAGTTCTGTGCATAGTTATGGATAAATGAAAATTTTCATTTATTCATGTGTTTTTGAATATATTGCTCTTCACTTAGCGCCCAAAGCAATTAAACCTGTGGCTGAGCTGCTAGGAGAAATAGCATAGGTAAAAGTTTAGATCCTTGTTATTTGGGACTGAGTGGGTATTGTTCTGGCCTGCTCCTTGTTATATAATTCTATATAAAATTATATAAAATTATATAATTATATAGTTACAGGCACAAGTTTTGAATTCAGAAAGACTTGGGTGCAAATCCTAGCCTTACTTTAAGCAGTGTTCTTCTGTAACTATAAAAAGTAAAAACAATAATGTGAATTATATTTGTGAAATTGTGAGCACAGTAGCCTGTCACAGACGTCAGTCTTAAATAAGTGGTAGCCATTATTACTATTAACCATTTTGTTTCCCTGGACGGTATTTTCAAGTAACATGATTTCAGTTGCTACTATGGGAAAGAAACAGGCACTAATATTAAGTGGTAATGGATAAAGATGTGATATATAATCACAGGTATAAAATTAATGATTTGTTTTTTTAAGTTCAAGAAAAATAAATATGTGAAAGAAATTAACTTTCCATACACAAAAAATCTCAAAGTCTTTGCCAAACTCTGGCCATTGAGCATTCCCAGAGGGATTCAGCCTGAGAATGTAAATGCCATAATTTTCTAAATGGGAATTGAGAGAAGGGCGTGGAACATCAACCAAGTTAAGTACCATTGACTTACCTGGAACTCATACTTTGACCGCTTAGGAAACTGGCAATATTTGTTTACAGCCTATTCTCTAAGGACAAGCCAGCCCAGATCCTCAATTAACATTTCATTCATGTGTAGAGCAGACTTCCAGTATGTTATTCCCAAGATGAATTCTGTGCACCTAAGAGGATTGGAAGATAAACCATCTGTGCCTGGGTAAAGATATTTGGCTACTGGGGAAAAAAATGATCCAACTATATGGAGGTTATTGAGAAATAATCATGCTCAACTTTATTAAATTTAATAAAGATAGATGGATCTATAGAAGATCCATAAGTAGAAATACACCATCAACTCACTATATGCATCATTTTCCTTAATAACTTATACAACATTTTTGCCTGAGCGAGCCATAAGGTTTTGGACTTTCATGCACCACAGAACTGATGAATGTACATTGAATCCAGGGTCAGTATAAATGCCAAGTTGTCCTCCATAAGACGCCAACTGTGCCCCAACCATGATGGCAGCCTGGACTTACTAGGAAATAGGTCACTGGCTTGCCAAAGGGTAGAGACTACTGGGGGTGCAAAATTACTTTTTTCTTTGTAAAGTACATCAATTGCATTTTCTTTTGGGTCAAACCTCAAATGTGTTCCTATTAAAAATAAAGACCCAATTTGAGATTCTTGCAATAAAGTAGATTTCATAACAAAACAGAATAACTTGATCATCTCAACCTTCTCAATTTATAAAGCAAAAAGAATGTGAATTGGAAATATGGGCAGAAGTGTAATATAATTCAGAATATCAAAAATTCAGAAATAGACTCTAGCTAATCCATATGATAAAATTAATAAGGCACACTTACTATATGTTCAAAGAACAATATGGGAATTATAAACAAACGTGCCTTTTGCCCAAGGTTATGTCAAACAAAAATTGACCATGTTCTGAACAAGGTATAAGTGAGACTATATTCCATAAATAAAAAATATGAAAAACAGTTGACTATTTGAACATTTTAAATTAAGCATTAACCAAAGTTTTTTTTAGCATTTATTTCAAAAATAACTAATAAAAAACACAGTTGACTAAAATTTGATCATTCAAGTTACCATAGAACATTTTTTAAAATAAATGTGAGCCACAAAGCAGAGTGTAAAAATTTGAGAAATAAATATAATAGAACTATGATTTATATTATCAATCATTTCAAGATTTTTAGTGACTGTAGAATTGGAACAGTCTATACTTTTGGTCTAGACTTATGTTGGCAGGAGATGTGTGAAGCTGCTTTGACATAAATCCTTTTCTTTTACTGTCATACTTTAATCCTTCTGCAGACTTGATTTGGAATAAAATGTGTGTCTAGAATGAATTTGTAAAGTAGCACATTAGGCATTTTGAAAACTCAACAACCTTCTGTGAACAGGGAACACATCACTTTTATCTCCTTCTTTTTACAGTAGCTTCCAAGATCTATCATTAAGAAAATCAATCACTTGTCTCGTTCTTCCTGACCCTTTCATTAACTCAAAACCATGACTTGGGAAGATGAGAACGGCACCTCTTGATTTTTAAGTATTGATTTCAAAATGATTTAGTGTTAACAAAAGAATGCATGTAAAATCTTGAAGAAATATCAAGAAAAAAAGTCATAATTTATCACTTCCAGATGAGAGAGCTCTGCCTTTCTCAAAAAACCATTATTGTTTGTTGAAGCTATTCCTGTGGCCAGGAGAGAGGACCTTGAGAAGTCTCATTGGGGTAAGAATTTGTCAAGCTCTCCCCTGGATATGCAGGGGAGCAGTCCAGGGTTAGGAAAAGGGCTTCTTGTTGAGTTGACTTCAGGGGACTTTTGTGGCTGGTAATTCTAATGAAACACTATCGCCATCTTAGGTTGTTTCCTCTACTTAATCCCCAAAGGAAATCCCTTTGCTTTTCAGAGATAAAAAGTTAATAGAACAAAGAGAAAGTCAGGGGAAGCGCCTGGGCCTTTTGCTATAGAATTTCACTGAAGCCCTTCCAAGCCCAGTCTGGACCCCAAGGGCTGTGCTGTTTATCCCCACACCTGGATTGAATATCAAGGACTCTGAGAAGATGAATCATTTAGAAACCTGATGTTCTTGCAGGGGGCTGTTGGTTTTTTAGAACTCTAATAACAACTGTGTCAAAGGCAAAAACCCCATAAAAAGTTCAAAGTTGTTACATCCTCTTTCTGCATCGCTTTCAGCCAGTGTCAGAATTGCCAAGCACAAGAGAGGCCCACTGAGACGACTGAGGTTGATCATTCTTTCTCTGAACAGGAGAGATTAAAGACACAGCATACAGGGCACAAAGAGAATAAACGGGTGGAGGTGACAGCTCTCTCTCAAGGGAATACCTAAGACTTTCATCATCTTTGTTTTCATTTTCACCTTAAATCAAGTGATTAAGGCAAAAGAACACGGGTTTGATTTTGTACCAGATGTGTTCATGAAAAATATATATAAAAGCAATTGTGGTTGAGAAGTGTCCATCTTAGATGTTTCTAATACCATACATCCTTATTCAAGGGAGCACAGCAAAGCTCAGCTCGTACCCAAGAGCATTTCGAAATTAACAATCAGAAGTAGTTCTACTGTCAAAGTGAAAAAGTAGAGATGATAAAACCATGAATGAGATTTATCTTTAACATAAGCTTCTGGTTTTCAACTCACTGCAGTAATCCAGTTGTTGTAGAGAAAAAAATGTCTTAAGACGTCTTGGTAACCACCTCAGCACATCCTTTTCCCAATGAGTGTTGATCAGGTTGGCTATTGTTTTGG